CTACAGATCTTGTAAGTATATTGGGTCATAAATTAGTATAGTGTGTAATTCTCTTCTTCCTTTTTTTAATACATTAAATGAGTATTTGTATCCTCAGACAAATATGCAAAAGGTGTGTAACAATGCTTATCAACGATATATCAGATCGCGACCAGGTGCTTCAATAGAAAGTGTTAAAAGAGTCAAAGAACTTTGTATAAATGAAGCTGGAATTCTACCACAGTATTCTGATGTTTCCCCTACAGCAACAGATATAATATCCAGGATGAAAAACTATAGACCACAAGGAGTGAGTATGATCTCTTTCATATACAGACAAAAAAATGTTATATATTTCAATTTTAATATTCTTAAATAATCTTTTATACATGTAATAGACGATATTTGAGATTGGTATAAAAGCGAATTCAGTTGATTACCAAGTGATGAAGACGAAACGATTATTTCACAAAGAGAACATCTTTAATTTTCACAAAAAAATGGAAGATCGCAAAACTGAAGAAATTAACATGACATCAAGTAAATATTATGCTAGTAAACTATATTTTATATATATATATATATATATATGTAACGCAGTATGATTGAATTATTTCAATTTTATAGAAAACTTGCCTCAAAAAATTAATCTGCCATCCAGCAGTATGGAAGAAATTAATGCTGCATTTAGTACAGTAGTAGTTCCAAAAAAAAGGAATAGTGACGATTTGTATAAAATTTCGAAGAAAAAGAAAACGCACACAAAACGAGATGAAGAATATTATATACCTTATTTCGCACCAGACAAACATACAGAGGAAGGGTAGGAATTGCTCTACTTTTCTCATTTTTAAATATTATTCTGAAGTAGTAAAATATTATTTTTATTCCACTCTATTTTAATTTAAAAAAAAATAACATTTTATTCTCAATTATTATCTTTATCCTATTTGACATTTGTTTTGTTTTTTCAGTTTAGCCGTTAACACATTTGCCACAGAAGCTGATAAGGCACAGATGGATTTAATGGCAGACAACGAAGAGGGCCAACATCTTCAAAAGCAATTAAGAAGAAAAAGAAAATGGTCACTGTTGATAGGGTACATATATCATTAATATATATTTTCGTATACAATCTCTTATCATAGAAAATAAAATTATTTGCTATGCATTTTATCGGAATAGGATCCGAAAGCGAAAAAAATACGTACAGAATCTGGTGTATGGATACCTGCTACATATAAAACGAATCGGTATAACATGTGGAAGGAGAAGAGTAAAGTTGATGAAAATGACAGCGAGAGTGATAATGAGGAAGAATCTTTACAGCAAAACTGTAAGTTAATATACAATCTCATGTCAAAAAATATTGAATCTAATCAAATTTGTTTTACAAATTTTTCTTTTATATCGTGCATATTGATTCATTCTAATCATTATACTTAAAAATTGCTGCATGCTGTTTTTGCTTTATTTTAGTGCGAACGACAGCAAATACACATTGGGCGCGGCATAATCAGAAACTAAAGGACAAAGTTAAAGCGAAGAACGAGCTGAAGAGGCCCGAACAGATCTTAAAAGCGCGCAAGCTGCTCGAAAGAAAGCATCGAAGAAATGGTAGAAAAAGTGGTAAAGGTAAAGGTCAAAAAAATCACAAAAGGAAGCATTGAAACATTTTTAATACTTAAAATATGTTATTATATTTTAACAATACAGAAACAAAATTATTATAATCAAAAGAATATTTTTTCTCTTTTTGGGAGTTATCATTTGAAATATTCTAAACATAACAACAGCCTACTTTTTTAAAAATGTTGCATGTAAGAAATAAACATAAAAGATAACAGTCTTATTTAGAATCCCATTTAGAACAAGATAATATGATGTCTAAATTTTACACACACGCGTGCGCGTGTATATAAAATAAATATTTATTTATATGTATTTATATATAGTAACTTTTTATTTTTTTATATATTTTCAATTATATCGACAGACATGATATTATTCTATATGCATCATTTTTGATATTAGTATATTAGTGTATCAGAACATACGAAAATACATGTTGGAGAGTTAATAATTTTTCAATGATATTTCTACTCTTTCAATAATACTAAAAGAAGTTTAAAAAATATTGCGCAACTGAATTCTTTACAGAGCATCATATGATTAAATGTGTTTCAAAACAGGTTCACATAACAAAACGTTTTTTACGCGATAGGTTGCGTGCGTAACAATATATATATATATATATAATGTATGACGCAAATAGGATGTATTGGCTAAAAATAATCGTGATCAATAACATTTTTCGAAAGCACAGTGACCTTATAAGTGAGCGTTATATGATTTAGGATGCTTGATCTTGCATCATCATAACATGGTGATTGCGTTGCACAATTGTGGGGTCTCCTATTCGTAAGGTATTACGAAGACTCGCTAGACCCGCTTTTGCGCGAAGCCTTAAGAAATTTTTGCGTCATCGAGAAACGTCGAACAACTTCTTGCTCGCGATATAAGCCGCTAATGTTAGTGGGCTGAGGCGGTCGTAAATTTTATCGAATTAACCGTTGGCGGAAACTTATCTCTGAACGCCATCGTAAGAATCACGAGATGTCCGCATGACGAAGCAAAAGATCTGCGTGCACAAGCTTCCGCGAGAACACAATGTATCTGGTTGCTTTATATCTAAACATGTCTTAGACAAACACACACATATGTCTTAAAAAGAACTAATGACTACAGTCCCGTAACATCACTTTGTAAAAATATCTTCGTCAGCGTTTTAATTATTACAAACAGAATTTGACGTGAAATAATAATAATAACAAATTGATGCAACATCTTTCAATTATCTGAAATATGTGTTATCGTGCCAACATGTCATGATAATTGTGAGCGATGTTTTTCCATAATTTAAGATCCTAATCAAGAATATAGAACATCTCTGGCGGGAAAGAAACTACTTCAGAAATTGTGTTGGTATATGAAAAAAAAAAGTACAATGCAAGTAATTGAGATATCGATTTCTGACAGGTAGTTATATTGACTATTATTAACAGTCAATTAACGTTGGATATGGCCGATTAAGCTTGCTATCTGTGTCATAACGAACCCTTCTCCCTTTATATCTGTTTGCCCCAGCTATGATCTAAAAAGCAACACGATACGACGCCAATCGCGGTTAATAAAGCTAGGATGACGATGCAACCGGATCCCAAAGAGACTCAAATTACTCTGATTTCAATTTCTTTCGAAGCCGATATGTCCGACAGTATCTTGACAACATGCGTGTAGTTTACACGCAATATTTCTGTTCGCCGCCTAATATCATGAGTCGTTCCTTATCGGCGAAAGAGAGATGAATTGGGACATATTTATAATGATAACGTTCCTATAATCTCGACCAATGTTTTCTCTCTTTTCTTTCGTTTACCCTTTCCTTCTTTCATCATTTTCTTTTTTCTTTCTCTTTTGTAGTCGCTATTGTTCTCTTTCTTTCTCTTTTTCCCTCTCTCTTCATCTGTCATGTTGCAATCCCACTAATCTTTTAGACGCATCTAACTCATCTATTTGTCTATTCGTATTCTTTTCGACCGTGCTATTCGAGCTCGACCTTCCCCTATACAAACGCTTTTAACTCGGAACGAGAAAAACATCTGCGCTGCTACAACAACGCGGCTTGCAGGCGACCCTCCGGCCCAAAATAGAGATTATTATGATAGAGCATCTGTATAGCGCGGGTGTTGGGACGAAGAGAATTCTCGGCGAAGTACGAGAAAAAGTACAACGTCGAGTGGCGAATTTACTGGCGCGAGAAAAGCCGTGTGTATATTTTTGGACGTACGCGTACACGATATGCACGTGTAGCATAAAATACGACCGCGTGTGGTCGTCACACGTTCCATAAAATTACGCGTACTTTGTCCGAAAACACATAGAAATTTGTCTAGATGAAATACAAGGTCTCGTTCGCTCTTTTTTTCTTTTTCTCTTCGTTCATGGTTCGATCTTGGGAAGAGGACGCAAGAGACACAAAGAGACGTAAATCTGCCTCTATGCCTCAACTATAATATCTGTCACATGGCGTATCATTTGCAAATTAGAGGCATTAGCATGGAGATTGCATCAAGACTTCTATTATATGCTCGAACTTTATATAACAAAGATTTTTCGCATATTATAAGAGCTTCGTATCAACAATAATAAGAATTGAACAGTCACGATATTTTTTGCCCGATTTTCGCTTTTATTTTTATCTTATTTTCGCAATTATAATGATTATATTCATATTGTCAATGACTAAATTTAAATTTAAAATTCAAATTCATTCGAAATAATCAACAATTATATACGTGATGATATCGCGACGAGTTGTTGATGAGCTTAACACTTTTATCGGCCGTACGCATCTCTGAATCTTCTCGTGTTTGTTTTGTCGTGACTAATAATTCAATCGCTGACGAATGTGCGTGAAAAAACAAAGCGGACATTATATATACAATATATATACGCTCGATGGTCACGTTACTACGGTATATACAATATTACACACGCTGCGCGAGAATCACGTGTGTGTCTCCGCCGCCCGTTATCCGCTCTCCCGGCATCGGTATGCGCGACACTAATTCATGTGCAAGCGAATGCATATATACACATACGTACGTGCTCTCATTCTTACGTCGGCGTGTCCAGCCGGCGGTGTGGCATCGACGTCGTCGATGAAAACAATCGGAGGAAGTGGGGAAGGAATAGTGGCGTAACAGACGGGCTGAATGTATTCCCGCATAATTTAGATACCTCGCAACTCGCATTCATATGTATACTTTCACACAAGCTTTCTCACAAATCCACGGTTCTTCGATCATCCGACACACAAACAGACTTGAAATATCTAAATATATCTAAGTATTATCCATGAAAGTGAGAGAGCTTTATGATTTCTCCTTTCTTTTGAATTATTTCTTTTGTTCCATCCTTTCTTTTCTCTGCATTCTTGCTCTTTCTATCCCCTCCTCTTTTTTTTTTTTTTTACCGTACTCGCTACGTTATTTCGATCAAGGTCTCGCGGTTCGTTATTACGCCTCTGAGAAGGAATGTCCTGCAATTCACGAGCCTCATCACTAACGAGCGTAAATTTCAATGAATTCAATATAATCTCTGAGAGAGTGGGAGAAGGAAAAATGGAGAGAGAGAACATCAGAGCGAGTGATCTCGTTCTATTTTAATATACGTTACGTTTTTTATGCCTTCCGCTTTAGTCAGAGCAATGACGTATCGCGATAAAAATAGTTTCTCTCTTGTATACATATATTCTGATATGTCGAAATTCTTAAACTTTGTAACCAAGAAAGTTGGTTAATTATATATACGATGTTTACACTTTCTAAGGTTTTTAAAAATGTATTCGTAGAAACGTGATTTCTCTACATTATTTCTTGATATTTTATCTAACTAAAAATTAACAAAAACTAATTTAAGAAAAAGAAAAGAGACATATATGTAGATAAGGAGGAGTTTATGACATATTAATATCTCTGTTTTTCAAATTTTTTGTATATAAATAGTACCGCATACCAAAAAGAAAAATTTTTTATAATTTAATAAGGCAGAAAAGATATATTTATATTAAAACTAAAATAGTGACTATCTCATTAATTTAAAAGAACATGACATTATTCAGGAAAAGGAACATTTCTGTAAGAATAATCTGTGTTCGAAAAGCTAACAAGAATGATGTAAGCCAGAGGTATCTCATAGTTCACAGACCGCCCTTGCGTCGATCCATTACTTTGTCGATGCACTTGGCGCAGGGTCAAGTCTGGTATGACAATCCCATCATGATTGCGGTTACAACAGTTGCAAGCGTCGTCGTATGTCAAATTCTTCATGCAATTAACATCCTGCGATTTCTATTTATATTTTTATCTGCAACGAAAGTTCTTAAATTAGTGAAAAGATGAAAATAAAACAAGAAAAAAATATGTTTTTTTAACACTGAAAGAAATCGAAAGTGAAAAATATATTTTAAAATATTAAATTCTGATATTTTCAGATTTGATATGTGAAATGCAAAAAGAGAAACTTGCATATGAAGACTATAACGTTAATAGAGATTATGTATCATATGTTATATCTAGACCATGTTAAAAAGGATTAAGGGTGTTTTAAATACAAGATTGCTTCGACTAAACATATATATATATATATATATAATCTAAATATCTTAATTTAGACTTTGAAATGTATAGGTTACATTCTATTATCTGAATACGTTATCACGGAAACCTAACTGAAATGATGATTATAACATATTATCGGCTACAGTAATTGTGAAAAATTTATGCGAAAGTACAGGATTATAAAACAAGACAATAGGAAAAAAACACAAAACTTACTGTGTTTCAAAAGTGAAGGACGTCCAGAAAGGAAGCTCGTTATTTCTGGCATCGTTATATGCTGCGTTGATCAATGACGTATAACTATGTATATCAATGGCAAGATATTCAAATATATTGCCTGTCGCTCTGACGCGTAGACAGGTAGAAAGCGGAACAATCCAGGAAGTTGCCCATACTCGCATCTCAGGATTCATAGTCGTTATATTGCCAAGCGAAAACACCAGTATTTGATTAGGATACATGCCATTCCGAAAATTCATATGTGATGTTATTAAAATTCTGGACGAAATTGCTATAACGATGCTATATTACATTTTAATAAAGTAATGTTAGTAGCAAGAATTTTTGTTTCATTATATGAAAAGCATTTTTGCTGTTCTAGGACAAGCTCTTTAAAAAGATCAAAGAAAATGTACAATTATTAATTCATCAGATATCATACGATTACAAACCTTAATATATGATTTTCATTCTCTAGCAATCTAAATAGCATAATAAATGTATGAAGGAGAAATAATATTAAATAATTAGGGGATTGTAATTTAATGATTTGTACTGAAGGAATTGTAGAGAAGACCTACAAATATCCTGAACCATCCTGGACATATTCAGGATGATCCTGAGGACGTTTTGTGCTGTCTGGGAAATATGTCATAAATATGTAAATACGCGATGTGTGTATTTATATAAATGGTTATGATCTTTTGAAAAAGTCAAAGATAATAGAATAGTTAATGTATGATTGAGAGAGCAATGGATAAGCAATACATGAATTAATAGTGCCTTTCAATTCCTTTCAATTTTCATACACGGTAAAGATTAAACCTCACAAAATGGGAATAAAGTTGAAAATTACTATACGATCCATAATGAAAAATCAAATATCAAATAAATGTGTGTAAGATATAAGTAAAACAACGCGATATGCTAATTTACATAAACTAAATAAAATCAGACACAGAGATTCTCTTAAAAATTATTTCCCAACGAATAGAGATCATTTATCTATATCTGTAGCATTATATACATATATCGATTTTAACCCAATTAGCGGTAAATGAATCAGCGCGAGCTGTTCCATGAACCCTTCGCGATCGGAAAGCTATTAATTTTGCGTGCAGTATGTGATATCATGCGCGATAATGTTTACGGTGAACGTCGAGGTATGCGTGACTGTTTCAAACGCGCACGTCATAATCTGGCGACGACGCACACGCGTCATAGCTCGCCGAATGTCACAGCTGCATGACGCAGCGCGAATTTAAAGTCCATTTTTTCAGTGGAGACAAAATGCAAATTACGGCTATCGTAATCTGACAAAGGAAACAAAAACATGTCCATTTTTATAATAATTTTAATAAAATATACACATATTCGCAACTCGCGGATATGTATGTGCGTGTATGTATATCATACATGAGAATTTATAGAATGCAGAAAGTTGCATTGTCTGCTCTGATTGCCTACGTGCGAGTACATGTGCGAGATACGAATCAAGCAAGAGGCCACGAAGAAAGCAAAAGGCCGTGCTGTTTGAAAGGAAAGCAGCATACGGATAACGCATGGCTGCATTTGGAGCACCTAATGCTCCAAACTGCTTGGCTTATCCGGCCTTCTATGTTAGGTTTGTTAGGTTGCGCGTCGCCAGGTGCAGCTGTACTCGCCACTGCACGACCTTTCCCCACCCGAGTGAACGTCCCCCTGTCCACTCGTGCCGTTGCCAACCTAAGCGCGAAATAATAACGCCTCGACGCTGCCGGGGTCGTTCGTTATTCAGGCGCGGCACTGCAAATCGTCGCCCATAGTATAGAATAAATCGCGGAAAAATTCCAGAAATTCCATGAAAATTTTTCATTTAAGATCGTTAACGTAACGTAGAAAAAATTTCTCTGACGAATAAAAATTTCCAAAACAAACTTTGTGTCTCCAATCTCATATTGATATATTTCGTATCGATATCCAGATAGCAATGCCTGATGATCAGATTTCATCACGTTATGATATTTTAATATTTATCGAAATATGATGTATATCTTGTAATCATATTATGATGATACATATCATGAGCACAAAAGTTAACGTGCACATGAGAAAAAATGTGAGCTCAGATGTTGACGTTACTTTTGATAATCACATGCTGACTGCAATGATTAACTATCATGTATTATAAAGTTATGTACGTTCAGCATTTTCGTCATTATTATATATTACAAAGCTCAAGCACATGATCTCCGTGACATTTTGTATTATGTAAAATGTGTTTTCATGTTAAACAGAAAAAGAGAAAATGTTTGAAACATTTTTAAACATGAAATAATATACAGGGTGTCCCCAATTTAAATGTCAAAACTTTAGGAGCGTGTAGGGTGTAGAATGAGTTAAAATCCTCCTGAGGTAAAATTAGATTAGAAACAAAATTTCGCGTTGTCGCGTATTTATCTACAATCCTCTAATGTTACCTCAGGAGGATTTTAACTCATAAATTTCAATAATTAACATGCATTAATAATATTTAATAAAATATTAATAATATTATATATATTTCATATCGTATGTTTTATCTCTGAAAGCGATATAAGTTATTGAATTCAAGGTTTACGAGAGATAAAACCAGTTAAATTTTAGTACAAGCATGCTTAGAATTATGGTAATTATTATTCTTATTGTTATATTACTATTATTTTTACTATTAACTCTGTTATATAATATTTTATTATTATATCATCATTATATATTACAAAGACTATTGTTTCTTTCTTCGCGTTTTACGACGTCATGATGTCATATTTTCCTCGTAAAGATGAGTGCTAATTAAGCCAAGACTATCCCGTAAGATATATGATTACTCGACGAGAGATTTTCTTATCTCAATATACTGTCATTCCGTTCAGTTGATAACGCGTCGGCTTACATCTCAACACCGTCATTGCCATAACGTCGAACAATGCCGGAGTAAAGTGACAATGAGATGAAACGCTGTCAATACGCCAATGAATATTGCTAACGCTATGATATAATAGCCGTCGCTGGTGGAGAATTATGTACGCCCCTTGTATAGTGAGAAGACGATAAAATCGCCCATTATTGCTATTTAAGAGTGATTTAAACTGTCAATAGAATCGTTACATGTGCATTTCTTTCTTTAAACATAATCATTTTTTTTTTTTTATATCCGGGTGGAGTGTGATATTGAATGCAATAAGTAAGTGATATAAATATCAACTATTAGAATATCGAATTTTTGGAAAAAAAAAAAAGGATTTTATATCCGGGTTTTTGTGTTAATTTCCATTCGAATGGGAAAATTATTTTTGTAACCACATGTTTATCTAATAAAGCAACGTACATATAAGTGTTAGATGCATATATGCAGTAGTCAAGTTGGATCAAGTGTTTCATCCTAATCGAAATGAGAATATATATCGTTATCAGCGAATTATTTAAAGACGGAAGCTAATGAATCACTTGGACTTTACACATAGATTTACGCATGAACTAATTCCAAAATTCTCACGCACATATTATATATCTAATATATTATCTCTTATTTTCAGAATTTAATTTTAAAGTATATCGGAAAATAGTTTTGAAATTAATTTTCTCAAAAGTCCATTAATAAGTTGATTGAATTATCTTCTTGATCATAATAAATCTTATGCGTGACGTTTAATTTCTTTTACATTCGTAAATAATGAGTTTTGCGAATGCAAAGTCCAAATTCAGATTCGAACACATTTCCAGTCGAGCGTAAATCGACGAAGAATTGTGTCAAAAAATTTGCGATTAAAAAAATTAGCCCGCGAGAAGGCGCTGTCAGATTATACGCACAGACGTTGGCCACGCACGTGGCCCGCCGATCTACTCGTGCGTTCCTGCAATGGCAGCCGCGCTTCTAGGTATCCCAGAGTTCGTGTCCGCCGCATTGGTGTTGGTCTGTTGGTAGCAGTGCGCCGCCGAGTCAGTGTTCAATGTGTCGTGCGACAAACAACAACGTCGGGCCTGGCGAGCAGCCGTTGTCGTAGCCGTCGCTTCAAGCAAGCATTGATACGTCGAGGAAGCAGTTACGTGCGCTCGCGCGAGAATACGTGTTAAGCCCGTTCGCGTAACGTCGAGTGTCAGTCGCGACGATAGTGCATCATCCTCGTTCTCGTCGTCCGTCCACTCATCGCCTAACGATGCATCGCGCGCATCACGTCCGCGACGACGGAGTCGCGATCGACGCGCGTTGTTGGGCGTAGCCGGCGGCAGCGAGAAACGATAGGAGCGTGCGTGTGTGACAAAAGCCTGTGGGAACCCTGCCGCGGTCGCTGCCATTGCGATTGAGCGAGCAGGCGGGACCCATACTCTCGGTGCACCCGTACTCGCGTAGAGAATATAGTGACGCGGGACGCAGGCACATATACGCGTCGCTCTTCATCCGTCTCTCTCTCTCTCTCTCTCCCCAACTCGCGCCCTTCATCCCCGGCCGCGCGATATTTCCGCGCGTCGTCGCTTGAAAATTCGACGCGCCTAGGACGACCAGAAGATCGAACGAGCGAAACGTGCGAGGCATGTCGTCGTAGCACCGTACAACTCGTGGCCGAGATCTCGGATTCTGAGCGCGAGGTGAGTGCCGTTGATTGACGTTGACGTTGTTGACATTTACGTCGCAGCGATTGATTGTTTCGTCGAAGAACGATGCGACAACGGCCGGCGGTGTGCATAGAGGGATTTTTCCAGTATTGTGTCAACATGCGGTCGACACGTAGGAAGTTCACTCTCGCGCATACGGCACGGCACACCCATCTCGCTGCGTGAGCGAGCGAGAGTACGAGCGTGCGAGCGAACGCACGAAGAGAGGCGAACGGCGCGGAGCGGCGTGTCGACGCGGTGGCGGCGGTGCCAGGAGACGCTCGCGCGGCGCGGCGAGACGGAGAGGCGGTACAGCATACATAGATCGAAATCGCGAAAGATCGCCGTCGCGGATTCTGCGTAGCGAGAAAAGAGCACGCGACGATTGCCACTCGTTAACTCGTCGGATTTTAGATTGCAAACTATTCTGATGCTGTAGAAAATGATTTCTCAGTGTTTGTGTGTATCGGTGATGATTTGTTAAATTGTCAAAATTATTACGTCATTTCAATTCCTTGGTGTAACTCGAGTTCAAATGTTCTTACTGGAAATAATGATTTTTATGTTTATTGTTAATCGTATATAATCGCGACAATATTGATATCTTCTGGTTGTCTAGCGTCGAAAAACTTCCAACTTATCGAGATTATGTCGTTCTCAAAACCCGGTTATAACTGATAACCTAAGTCAATCAATGCCGACACTGCGATTCGTTTGTTCCTGATACTTACATTCAGATGATTAGCTTTACTTGATAAGTACAACATTCTTTACGATGGCATGTTTCGGATATGATAGTGTCACGCGCACGATGAATGTAGAATGTCAAATGGCATGGCTAATTTGTAGTTGCTCAACGACGCGGACGCTGGACTTTGATGTTTACCATATCGGAAATGCGGGAACACTCCGTGCTAACCGCATCGATACACATTCAAGATTCGACGTTCGCAGAAAACTTTCGCTTGGGTCTTACGATGTCGACGTTCAAGTTTCATGAAGGCCGTCAAAAATGTCACAGGAGACCGAAATCGCGAGACACGTCTTGCTTAAAAAAATCTTGTACTAAAAGAGTTAAATCAGGCATGTCATATAGATGTTTAATCGACAATTTCTATATTTTTTATTTCACAAACAAGAATATTGAAAATTGGGAATTAAATCAGGCAAACCGTTGCATCTGCATCTTAAAAGAGAAAGTTCAGAATTTCGTAATTTTGAGATATTCCAATCGAGTCCTTTTTTCAGTCGCCGCTTTAATTTATGCATATAAATTTTTTAATTTATTCAACATTTATCTGACATTTATATGGCAGTTTACTTTATGCGAACCGCATGTAGAGCATTGTTTGAAAGACCACGCGATACCGGTATAAATGTTCTCTTCGTGAACGCGTTCTTTGTAATATCGCGAAAAGTTTCGTAGGAGCTTTTTAGTCGCAAAGGAAAATCCTCGTGTCGCTCAGGCTTTACTCACCACGATGCGCGTTCAGCTTTCTAGCGCGAGTTTCACGCCTACGCGCGTGAAGACGCACGCATAATCAACGCTCTTAAAAGTCCATCAAAGCCCGGTCAAGTTCGATCACTAACGCCGATTATTAGATCATCGACGGAATTCACGTATAACGGCCCGCATTCACGTTCGCCTCGATGATAGTTCAGACAGGAATTAGTCATTAAATAAAAAATGAAGCGTATCGATACATTCTTTTATTTAGATGTTGTCAGCACACGGTATTGATCATTCATAAAAAAAACATTAACTATATCAAACTATATCGATAAATACCGTATCGTGATCAAAGAAATTGATTCGATTGCGACACGTTAAAAAGGAGGAGGATCATCAATAAGGGCGTTTTTTGGCGCCCACAGGATTTTCAAACAATTTTTTTTTATTTTTTTTTTTATTTTGTAGGATCATTAAAAATGTCAAAAATAACCATGAGATGAGAAAAAAATATCGATCCATAAAACTAAAATTAATTATTAGTCTAGGTATACTATTATGGTACCTAAACCCTTTTCACGACTAATGAATAAATTAATAAAATATTTTTGCTTTATTATATTTGCTTTTTTAAAAAGCAAAATGAAAAAAGAAATAAAATAATAATAAAAAAATAAAAATGATATTAAAACTACAACGATCACAATCTTGACGCAATGTAGAGGCTTAAGCCTATAGGCAACTAATAGTGATCATCTATTTGCTATGGGCACCCATATATCAGGAATAATAAAAAATTATTTTTTTTTTTACTATGAGCTGTATTCACCTTCACCTTGGGGGAGACGATACATATTGCAGTCTAAAATGACGTTAATATGATGGCAGAGCAGTATAATGAGCGAAAATATTTTATTAGTTCATTTATTAGTCATGAAAAGGGCTTAGGAGGGTACCATGATATTACCTAGACTAATAATTAATTTTGGCTTTATGGATCAAGTTTTTTTCTCACCTAATGGTTATTTTTGATATTCCTAATAATCATACAATACAAAAAAAATTGTTTTTTGAAAATCCTGAGGGCCAAAAACGCCCTTATTGACCCTCCTTTCTTTTTCGATATTATCTCTATGAAAAATTATCAATATATATCAATATAATATATATGTAATATAATATTTAATGATTGCGAATTGGCGGATTTGTTTTTATATTCGACATGTGTGTCGATATTCGATATCGCTAGTAAACCGATACGAGCCGGCACAAATATGGAGAAGCTGAATGCTGAAAAATATATACACTTTGTGTGCATATTGAGATATGATTTATCTATATAAATTTTATAGGTATTATTTTATTTTTCATTCCACGCTTTTTCTCTTCTCTTCTTTTTTGTGATTGTTACATGTTCGACGCTTTTAGCATGATTACGAAAGTCTCGTTTAATTTATAAATAAATAAATGCAGGAGAGACGAGTGTCGATATAATTTGTATAAGTCTCAATTTTGGAACTGGGAATACGCTCGTAATATCGAGTACGCGCCGGCACCGAAGCAGATCGGTGAAAGCATATGGTTCCATGCGCGTCGTGAGTTTCGAGTCGACCGACTGTATGGCAGAATTTTGCAACGCGCAACCGATCCGTATGTCGAGATAGAAACCTCGGTTCCGCACCGTAACACCCGCGCCGCGATCTTTAAAATACTACGTTTTATTATGTGTCACGTGGAAGTTATTTCATATTCATTCGTTTTAACGCACAAAATAAAGAAAAGATTATTCGCTAACGAAAATTTCACGGTCGAATTCTTCGATGAAGTAGTAGATGATCGACAGACGATTGATTTCATTGACAATATGTTTGTACAATTATAACGATAATTTAAAAGCGACAGTTTATTATTAAAAAGTATTAAAATAATAAACTGTCGCTTTTATTATAATATATTACCGTGAGTCTCACTGGTAATAGATTTACAGGCAAATGAAATTTATCACTGATTGTGAGTCCGAACGTTTTTGCAAGTTTTACGCACAATTTCTGAAAAAATTAAATTGATTATTGAAATTAATGATCGAGAAAAAGCATTGATCGAAACTTTTTAATGTAACGTCATGAAATAAGTGTAATTTGTTTACGTTGGATGCATAAAAGTTCACGCCCACGTAGGATGAAATTTATCGAAGCAATTTATATATTTCTTATGAAGAAAGCAATTGTTTTCCACGTAATTTTCATGTAACTCAGGAGTATAACATTTTTCTTTTTTTTTTTGTGCTCCCGTTTATCCGCAGGATAACTGCGTAGAATGTGGAGCCCGCTTTAACCGCGCCAGGAAGAGATCCTAGAAAGTGTTCGAATTGATAAAAAGCCGTACTTTCTAAACGTCTATGTATTGCGGCATCGTAACTTTTTCCATTCGCATTGCCGTCAACGTGGACATTCAACGAATCCGGTGACCTTTTGTCAACTTTAACATTTCTTTCGATTGTGTTGCCTTAAATGCGTACGCGTGCATTTTCACGATTAATGTTTGGATATGATGTCATGTTAATTTTAACAATTGCTAAATAGAAGAAAAATCATCTAGATATATTATATGTACGTAACTATAAATTTTGCAACAATCTGATTTTAAGACAATGCGAAAAAAAAAAAAAAAAAATCTAGTTAACTTGAAGTTTTTTATGACGGGAAGGGGTTCTGCAACAGGAAAGATGCACGATAAATTTACGTCGCTTTGTGAATTACTGCTCGAAAGGAAATTCCAATCGCATATCATCTGGGACGCGATCGACCTTCCTGACAGATGCACGATTTCCGGTCGCTCGGTTTCGCAGCATAAACAGTCGAGAAGTGCACTCGCGTTCTTTCCGCGCGCGGCATCTCATTATATAACCGATTAATTTCGCAGAGCTGTGAGAGTGTGTCTTCTGTTGTGTATGTTAATTAAAGCTATGGCACACTCTCTTCGATAGGAGATACTGATTCCGTTATCGCACTTGACACATCGTTTGATAACGACGACGACGGACGCGTATTCTTGTGTCAGCGGTTGTCGTTGACATTACATCGAGTCGTATATACGTAGTTTTGTTCGTGCCACGAGTAGTCGAGATTGCATGCGGAAAATGATATCATTCATCGTTCTCGTCCTACGCTCCCAAAAATAATGAGAATACCGGAAGTGTATCTCGTCTCGCTGTGCTCGCGTAGCTTTTCGTGCAACCAACTCCGTAGTTTTGTCGCGCGAGCTGTTGACTTTCCTCGCATTCGCATATGCCATGTGACATTCGAGGCTATGTCTATTATTGATTAGGATTTTTCCTTTTGATACGATACGACTGTTTCTATGCCGTCGATCAATTTATCGCGATATGATTATCAAGATGTTATTTTAAAAATCATAATCGAAGAGTGTCAAGTTCGTTATGTTATCTATTGTATTATATATACTACCGCTACGAAACGGTGTGTGTGTGTGTGTGTGTGTGTATCATATAATTAATCTGTCAAGTTCGTTATGTTATCTATTGTATTATATATACTACCGCTACGAAACGGTGTGTGTGTGTGTGTGTGTATCATATAATTAATTATACACACACACACATACAATAAAACTCATTTTTTCCACTTTATCGCGATATGATTATTGAGATGCGGTAAATATGTTACATGCAAATATGCATATAATCATACATATGCATGTAACAAGATTCTTTTTTCTATCTTTCCCGAGCTCTAAATATAAAAACGTCACGTACGTTTTCGTATTTGAATTATATGCGTTCTTCCGCGAGAAATTGGAGACGGCACGCTGATTTACGTGTTTACGTTTTACAGGTGAAGCCCCAGCATGGCCAGCAGATGACTGTTAGCCGAGCCGGTGCTCGTACTCGACTCTAATATGAGCGAAGTAGTGGCAGTAACGCCGACTGGTGGACCTACGCGCCAGGAAAGCGTGACACACATCAAACGGCACAAGCTGGCCAGCTGTAATGTTCCTCTCGTGCACGGTCGGCCGAATCCGTCGATCAGTCCACGTAGCAGACTGACCACGCATCAACGAAATCACAGTTTGGACTTCAGGTATATATTTTGATTTCGTCATATCTGTTTATATCGCGGACGTGTGTCTCGTAAGGCCATTTGCCGAATATTTCCGAGCCACTTTGCGAGCTATGCGCGCGAGCTATTTGCGAGTCGTGACGCGTCTGGCGCGCGCGTCTATACATCCTGGCACTTGTTGAATAAGCAGTCGTATTATGTATACCGCGATTATGCGATCGACGCGATCGTCTTCGACGTCTAGATTGACGAGAAAATATGTGTAGAAGTTATGTCGTATATAAATTGAGGAATATATGAGGTATTTAAATTGTCTGTTCGCGACGACGATAACGGCGATGGAGATGTCATCAATATTAATAATCGCAACCGCACGCGGCCTATCCTATCTATTTTCTTGATGCTTTTGCAGCCGCCAATTAGAGCCGGCCAACATTGCATGCATACAATTTCCTTCGGTCGAAATACATACGTCACACATAATTTGATTGAAATTAAAAGATTCATACGGAATAGATTTCTTACTCTACATGAAGATAAGAAACATAATAACAGCAATAAACAATGCACGATAAAGACACAAATGCATGAGTGATATTAAATATTTTAAACGCATACTAAAAAGATAGAATACTAGATTATACGGATAGCAGATCGAGTAAATATACGTAAATATATACATTGTATATCTAATTATAAAGACTATTATCTACAGCGTATTTTTCTGTAAAATAGTTAAAATAACATTTTATATACATATTTCTCTCTCTCTCTCTCTCTCTCTCTCTCTCTTTCTATACATTTTCTTCAAATATTAAAAAATCGAGAGTATGTGCAACTCTAAAATAGCCTATAAAATTTTTAATTAATTGAAAAAATTAATCGAGAGAATACTTATTAACTATAAAATTATCGATTCCTAGATCAATGGGTATCCTACTACCGCCGGTGCCTCAGGCGGCCGCAACGACGTTGACGCATCATCACAGGAACCGAAGTCTGGATTCCGCTTTGCAACGGATTCCAGAGGTGGACGTGACACCGAGCCCGGAATGCGAGAATCCTGCCCCTTCATCAGTCTCTAAGACGATAACGGTATCGTCATCGTCGTCATCGTCGTCGGGACCATGCGGGAAAAGCGCTCGCACCGCGCGAGAACGCGAGGATTTGGCCAGTCTCGGTTCTGACGATTCCGGCATCCTTTGCGGCTCCGATAGCGGCTCGAGCGACGCCACAAATGCGCCCGCCACCCGAGAATCCAGCGTAGATCATTTGCACAGCCGCGAGAGCCTCGATTCATCCGTATCACAACCAGGGGACTCGGTGTATTCAATTGATGTGGTGGACGGTATGGAGAACGGTGCCGGTATGGTGTCGGTGTCGATGTCGGTGCCAGTGTCACCCGTGGAACTGTCCACGCGTCTCAGTGATAGTCCTACGTCTCCCGTATCTCCCAATGATGAGACCAATGATCGTAATTGTCCGCGATCGTACAACGACACGAACGTTGTTGGTGAACTTTGCTCGCAAGAACTGCGAATAACTAACGCGAACGTGCGAGAACGTACGTGTGGTGACGATTATCAGCATCAGGAACGCGCCGAAATCTACCAAGGCGCTATAACGCAAGTGGCGTCATCACCGCCGTCCGTGGCCAATACGAGCCAGAATGAGTTGGCCGGAGCGGCCATGACTCTTTGCTGCGGTACGACTGCGACACAGCAACAGGAAACCGAGACGGTGAAGAAGCAACCAGATGTTATCCGTCGACAGCAACAAGAGACGAAACAACCGAAACCGTCAGAAGGCTGTCTGCTGCGACTCTTTGAAAGTCAAATATTCGACATGTCCATGGCTATTTCCTATCTGTTCAATTCGAAAGAACCCGGCGTTCAGAGTTATCTAGGTATAATATATATTAAAGAGAATTAATTTCAGCAAGTTTGTTAATCGTATCTCACGTTTATTTTTCATAAACTAATAATTATTACAAGATAAACAATAACATTTGTTATTTTCATTATACATGAGCTTCTAAATTCTATATCGAGATAAAAATATTACAAAATGACTATTTTCTAGTAAATGCATCTTATATATTTGACTGATTTGATTGATTTTTAAATATGACCTGTAACGTATTATAGGTAACAAGATGTTCAGTTTTCCGGATAACGATGTGGACTTTTACTTACCGCAGTTAGTTGTGATGTATATACAACTTCACGATATAACAGAAGTCCTTTATCCATATCTTGTCCATAGGTAAATATAGGAGATACTGACGCATTAGAAGATTATTTGATTGCGCGTCTTACAAGTCGCGATAAAATTTAGATGGATTAAAACTAAACGAATCAATTGCAGATGTAGACAATCGGCAGATTTCTCGTTAAAATGTGCCTGGCTGCTTGATGCGTACAGTTCCGATGCTCATTTAGCATCAAAGAAGAAGTCTCATGGGACCAAATTGAAAAATCTTATTTTGTCAGATGAACTCAGGTAAGATTAATAAACAGATTTAGGGAGCAACGGAGATAACAAACGATTTTTGGCAGATCATACGTGTTTAGAACAAAGATTTATTGCTAAGCGTGTAACATTTCAGGCCAAAGGGAAATGAGAGTCGAAAGCAGCGTGGATTGCAAGTTCCTGCACCATCACCATTGCCCTCGGCGCAGAACCTTACGTCGCCGAATAAGAAAACCCACCAAAGATCTCAGTCCGACGCTACTGGATTGTTCCAGACTATACGCCGTAGTAATTCCGGTAATTATCCAAATAAATACATATATAAATATAATAAATTACGTATTATATAATGTTCGTATGAGAGCGTTTTAATGAGATTATTCAATCTTTTATATCGCGTATTTTTCTTAAAAGGTATAATAAATAAAGTAAGTCTTGGGGACCTGAGCTCTGGTCGAGCGTTTGACAATGGTTGTACCTGCTTCTATTCCTGCCAAGGTGTGGTGAACGATTTGCGAGGCCAAAAAACAGATTGTTTCTGCAATGTGAGTTATTACTTTGTACAAGACAATACATGTTTTACTTGAAGCGTTGCAACAATATAAAATTTATATTCCTTATACAGGCACCTCGACTCGCACCAGAATTCGAATTTATTCAAGCGTTAATATCAATTGGTAAATTGCTCGGGACTATCCCAACAAAGGAAAGTAAAACTGTTCAATTAGTAGCAGAGCTCAACACGCTTAATTTGAATCTCCCTGCAAGGGTGTGGCTGCCTCTGCACAGTATGATACCCCATCATATTGTGCGAGTTCCACCACAGTATGCTGCAGTTCTTAACAGCAAGGACAAGGTACGGACATTTCGCTGTATATCATATCCTTTGCAGAATTTGAATATCGATTTTCATGATGATATTATTGCACAGGCACCCTATATAATATATGTGGAGGTATTAGAAGTGGAGGATTTATATACATCGCCTGTGCCGACAAAAATAATGGGTAGTTCATTGAGGCATACCAAGTCTGAGGAGAATTTAACGGGCGGCGAGCAATCCAACATATCCACTTCCGATAGTCAGCAAAATTTAGCGGTGCGACAGACACCTGTAAAAAATATCTCGCCTTACGCCGTTAGAAATACAGACGTGACATTTAATTTCCCCGATGATGATCCTAACGATTGTTGGAGTCAGGAGGATGACGAGATTACGCAGCAGGTGAGTACATATTCGTATTGAAAGCAACCAATTATATATATATTTTTTTTTTTTTTTTTTTTTTTTTTTTTTTTTTTTTTTTTTTTTTTTTTTTTTTTTTTTTTTTTTTTTTTTTTTTTTTTTTTTTTTTTTTTTTTTTTTTTTTTTTTTTTTTTTTTTTTTTTTTTTTTTTTTTTTTTTTTTTTTTTTTTTTTTTTAAACAATTTTTATTTTTTTTTTTTTTTTTTTTTTTTTTTTTTTTTTTTTTTTTTTTGTTCTGCTTTCTATTCTAACTTTTTCCATTCGTTTCTGTGCAGTATTTACAGCTTCGTAAGCCAAAAGATCGAGATACCATATCGCAATTGAGTCAAGAATCGTCTGACAGCAGAGAACCAATCTTCGTACCGGGCGACATTAAGAGAAGATTGAGCGAGATGGCAGCTACGCCCAGCGCGACTTTTAACCACGATCCCGAGGATCCATCGGCGGCGGTCCTTAAGGAGCCGTGGGAGCAAAAGCAACGACGCATAAGAACTTCCAGTCCGTATGGGCACCTGGCATCTTGGAGATTACTCGCCGTGATCGTGAAATGTGGCGATGATCTCAGGCAGGAACTTCTCGCCTCGCAATTACTTTCGATGTTGCAAAAGATTTGGCAGGACGAACAAGTGCCGCTTTGGGTGCGACCATACAAGTAAGTGCGATGACTTATTATTGAAAATTTTTTATCGAAATATAAATTTTGATGCGAAATATAATTTTTCTCTTAAATAATGATTTTATTTTGTTTTGCAGAATATTATGTTTGTCCAACGACAGTGGTCTGATTGAACCGATCCTAAACACCGTCTCGCTCCATCAAGTGAAGAAGCAGTGCCAATTAACGCTTTTCCAATACTTCGAACGAGAGTTCGGCCCTTCTACCTCAGAGACGTTCCGCATGGCGCAGAAAAACTTCATTCAGAGTTGCGCTGCGTACTGCCTGGTCAGCTATCTTATTCAAGTGAAAGACCGTCACAACGGCAATATTCTGTTGCATAGCGACGGTCATCTAATCCACATAGATTTCGGTTTCATTCTCTCGACTTCGCCAAGAAATCTCGGTTTTGAGACCAGTCCGTTTAAATTGACACCGGAATTCGTCGAAGTGATGGGCGGCAATCAATCCAAGTTTTTCGAAGAATTTAAGAGTCTGATTCTTCAAGGTTTAATCGCGGCACGGAAGCACATGGAGAAAATAGTCAACCTTGTTGAGATCATGTTATCGGGTAAGTAGTACTAATTCTGCATATGTTCGTGTTTGCGTGCACCTTCAAATCCGCATATTTGAATGGGTTGTATCGATCTTTTTCGCAGGTTCTCAACTTCCGTGCTTTCGTAGTGGTGGGGCGGCGACTGTTCAAGGTCTCAAGAATAGATTCCACCTCACGCTAACAGAAGATCAATTGCGTCGGCATGTTGAGGATTTGGTCGAAGGCAGCATTCATTCGTGGTCCACTAAACTCTATGATCGATATCAATATTTCGCAAATGGCACTCTTTAATATCAAGATTAATAATCCTCTCTGTCTATCACGTTCTGACTGAAACTTTTTCGTAAGATTACGTTAAGTGTGTGTGTGTGTGTGAAAAAAGACATTAATCTTGACATCAACGTGGTGTCGCACTCTTCCACACAATTTTCACACACTTAATTGCGGGGTCGATCAATCGCCAATGAGCATACCGACCTATAAGTGTACTCTCAAGTCAGTCTGCAGCATCGTGAAATCTGTTTTGTATTATAATAACGCGTGATAACAGATAAAGATAAATTAATTATACATTGCTGTTTATTTTAATTCGCGTTATAGATATCTCCGCAGTTATTTGATAAAAGCGTTTGCTTAAATTGTGTTATACTGTGAAAGATAGCTTCTATCAATTTCAATATGCAAATAAAGAATAATTTCGGTGAATACAACGGTTACACGAACCGATGCAGAAAAAGACAAGACATTCTTTTTAGGCATGTGAGCTAATTTTGATTGGGCACAGCTGTTTTCTAGCATTCCACAAGCACAAATGACGCTTAGAATGGAAAAATCGCTTTCCTCGTGAATATATCGATAGCCTCGATGAGGCTAGACATATAGAAAATTCGGATAGATCATTATTCTTCGAATTTTACATTATTCCTTACTTTCGTGGCGAGTAGAAACGATATGAAATATTTTTAGCAAAATTCGAATCGATCTCTACATTTGATAAATTAAAAAATCTCGATTAAAGTAATGGAATATATATAAATATTTTAAGAGAACTTAAATTGGTTTAGCGAGTAATGTGAGCGATTTGTTGAAAGTTAAAAATATTTATCGTCGTTTGAATTAGGTAAAATGAAAGAAGGAATAATCTCTATGAGAATTTTGGTACCCAGTTGATTATATATATCTACTATATATATATATCCATTATATATATATATATAATGTTTTTTGTTCGATACATTAAGACTGCTGTTGTTTACGTATGCCTCGATTGTACATTACGAATTAGCCATCGCAGTGCAGACGTGGTGTCGTTGACTGAACTGCTATATCGAGTGTAACTTATATAAAGTGCGTAATTTGTTAAAGGTGCCTTATTTGTGTAGACTCTACACTGTAGAGAAATAGTGAAGACGATCAAATCTAGATACACAGTGAAGTGGCGTGTCAACGTGGCAACTTAGCGTGAAGTTGATCGATTGAGAAAAGGACAATTTGTAATTTGTATATATAACAAAAGAAAAAGAAAGCAGAGGAACATTGCGAGGACTTTATAGATAATTCGCGGCAATAAAAAAGTAGAATCTACTTCCAGTACGGAGAAACGGAAAAAATTTCCATTTACGAAGATTTTATCACAATTCTGGCGGGTACGCGAGAGAGTTACGTACAAAATATAGGCTTGGATATTAGCGGGAGGTGAATACTCAAAATATTTCCTACTTCGTAGATTAGTACTCTTCGGTAAATATATCTAATTGTACGCGATAAAGAATTAAGGACTAAGCATTATATACTAGCGAATCTTAAGGATCACATTTGAAAGTTTTTACATGTTCTTATATTACGTAAACATTTATTTTCTTCCCGCTCCCCCTCCATAGACGTGGCTGCGAATAGTGTCGTAGCTGTATGTATGGAGGATAATATTATTTAATCATAATTCTTCGCATAACGTTTTACGTATATGTCCGTTAAAAAAAAAGTAAATTATATAGATATATAAACTCTAAAGAAATATTGTACATAAAATGACAAATTTTATCACCTTATTATGCTATATTGTTTAAGAATCTAATCGAGGATGAATATGAAGCAAAATCAAAGTTGCTGGAGCCAGCCCGGAGTACCGGAGAGACCTGGGCTCTCTGACTTCCAAGTGTCTTATATATCTTTCTCTATCTTTTCTTCTTCTATCATAACCGTTTCACATGACAGATAGGCAGACCAGAAATCAGATATATGGTTGTAGAACGATCGAGAGAATGTGAATTTAATCCGTCGATTTTCTTCGACGCATCAATTGTCTCTTATTTTCGGTTTCAGCGGTTTCGCATAAAAATTGTATATTATACGTGTGATTAATGTGAGAGATTTTAACGTTCTCATTGTTACTGTATAAGAATGATTGCGGAGGAATATACACGAGGAAAAGTCAATTCCTCTTATTCCCGATCAACTGAACACACCCGAACTTTCTGTTCTGTTGACACGTGAAACGTCAAGATCTCTGATTTGCCTTGATCTTTCACCTCATTACGAGCTATTAATAATATCAATTATTGAATAAATACGAATGCGATAAAACAAAAAGAGTTTATTTAGCACCCAGTTATTGTTTCACACAAATTTGTATCGTCGGGTATCAGTACTGATATAATGTTAGTGTGTGTGTGTGTGTGATTGATGAGCTATCGAGAAAAAAATGTCTAATTCTTTTTTACTTTTACATTCACTTTTCGATGAACTTACGGTACTAGATGTACAATCGTCGCTACAAGATATTATGATATCAGTCATGAGAAAAATGCAAACAGGAGCTTGTACACATTTGTTTATTTATATACGTACCTGATGGGGGCGACTACGAAGAGATAGAAGAAATGAAGCAATAAGTATATCGCGAATATCACAATAAATCTTAATTTAATGGAGATCATATGGAAACACAGCCTTATTATATTCTAGAGAGCTGCTGCAATAAATTAGAGGGCAATATAGTTTCCAGTTTGTCGAGAATGTAATAAAATGGATGAGAGAACCAGGCGAGCATGGAACGGGCAACTACGCCCATAGTGTCCGGGTATTGATGGGTCAGCAAGGCTAACAGTGCGGTGAACGAGCACAGACCGGCGGTGAAGAGGATGAAAAAGGGGAGCTCCTTCTTCGGGTAGACGCTGACATCGTGAAACGACGGCAGGAGTTCCCGGTCGGCACATTCGGTACATGTGGGATACGGATAGAACAGATGTCCACGCTCGAGCGGATATGGCAACATCCTAAACGTGCCCTCCCATGTGCAATGAAGCAGATTCAAAGCGCCTTCTATCTGCTTCCAGTGCGCTAAATGGAAGAACGAGTATGCAATCGCCTCGGAATCACCACGCTTCAGCACGTGTTCAGGTGGGAGGATGAGCGGCTTCATTTCCAAGAGATACTTAGGTACATGAGGATTGAATTCCACGGCCCGATGAATCGCTTCCACCGCCGACATCTCGGCGGTGGTCAAGCCACGTTTGCTGGCGATGTCGGGCGAAAACTTGTCCGCCACCAGCCGTGCCTTCAACAACGCCGCTGTATAACAGATGGTCGCTGATTTCGGCAGACTGATGTCGTCGTACTTGGCCAGCACGGCCTGCACGTCCGCGTACGCTTGCATCTCCAGTAGAGTCTCGATCAAATTTTCATGAATATTCAATACATTCATGATGGGTGGCACCTCCTTCGTGAGGTCGCGAAACATTTTCACTGCCTCCTTCAGCTTTCCCAACTTTCGCGCGCACATCGCTAATCTTCTTTTGATGTAGATCAATACGTTTGTATCTCTCCTGTGCATTGCTTCGGCTATGGAGCCTTGGTGCTGGGTATTTTGCGATTTTCTATAATTGTTTTCGGCCACTTTTAGAGCTTGCTTCAGAATCTTCTCCGCCTCTACAATGGTAGTAGCCTCCTCCTCCGCAAGAAGAATGTAAGCTGGTGCACAATCGGGATTACGATCAAGAGCACTATGCGCTGCTTGTATTCTGACAACTGGATTGCGTTCTCTCCAAGCTGTTTGCATAATTTCATACTCTGTTTTACCTGTAAGAGAAAAATTAATTAGCTAAACTTGATATTTTGAGAAAGAAAAAGAAAAACAAGATTTATCTTGCTATTTGACAAGGCATTTCCAGTTTACCAACTTAGTACAAATATTTGAATTTCTCACATAATACACATACATACTGAATAAAAGCGAATCCAGAATCTTAACCTGTATCACCCTCGCAAGTGAAGAAGGTCTGATGATCCTGAGCAGACAGATTCATATCGTAGTACGTAAGGGGTTCCTTGTTGGTGGCCCAATAAAATCTCTGATATTCCGCACCCCTGAATAAATTTATCGGATTGCGCCAGACTTTGCACTCCGGCACATTCTGCTGATTCGAGGATCCGCCGGAGCCGTTCAGACTCGAGCTATTGCTGTCATTAGCGCTGTCACCGCCGCCGATCCATGGCGAGATATGGTTCAGGGATACCTGTTCGATAAACGAGGTGCCGTATTTCCTGAAGTACCACCATTCGAAGATGAGGATCAGGCCGGAGATGAGGGACGAGGTGCCGGTGAGAGCGACGTAAAATTTTGGGGTTAGGGTACTCAGGAACATCGTCGAGTCCCACATGCTGGTGAATAGCAGTGCCATTTATGCTTCCGAGGACCTACTCGCTCACTCGCTCCGGCAAGTTTGTATATTTCTGTCACCGGAGAACACGAGCGTTCACCACATCGAAGACGGTGACGAACGACAAAGAGTCGTGTATTCTCCTTTCCACGGCAATAGATCTCACGCTCCGAATTTGATCGCTTATGCAAATTCCTTCTGTATATCTGAAGAGAGAGAAATATTGTTCAACGTGCGCGACACGATTCTACGTGTATCGGCACCCGTACATCGCAACGCACATTCCCGGCGCGTAGTATGTAAATATTTTCAACGATGCTAAGAACATCCCGCACGATTGCACGAAACGGGCAAACACCTTCCTCTTCCGGTCGGTAATGTTGAGAAACCAAGGAGAGATATAATATCGAAGGAGAAAGATCGATGATCGATACTGCAGAATACTTGATGATAAATGAAAGATTTTGCTACGCCTTGTTACCAGCTGTATCTGGTCTAATGTAATATCAACGATAGATGGAGGTATAGTTCAGTTATACTCCTAGAACTATCCGACATCTTACTTACGCGACGGTTGTTGAATTTAATCGTAAACATCATTAGTATCTTTTTATAGATGGAACATTAATACATTTATTTCAGTGGTGCAAATATGTGTGTTAAGAAAAGACGTGAGTATGTATCACATCTTATTCAAAGCTGCGGATATTATTGGATAGTATATTTCGTCAGTAAGAGAAACCCGTTTTTTAAAGGATCCATAATCCTCAACAAAATTCAGGGTAGAGAATTGTATTTATAATTTTATGTGAAAAAAACATAAAGAAATAAAATCTTCTTTGTTCAATTGTTGGATTTTCATATAAGAATAAACGTTATTGGTATTTCATTATAGATGACATGAATAAACTGACTGCAGTGGCCAATATGTATGTCGAGAAAATTGGAAAAATGTGAGTACAAATATCACATCTTACTCAGAGTTACAAATTTTTAATACTATTTCGTCAATAAGCTTATTTATTTGGACGATCTATAATTCACGATAGAATACGGAATAGAGTTATTTTTCTAATTTTATTCGTGTTGTGTAACAGAAAATACACACACATCTAAAGAAGTAAAATAAGCACTCATACAAAATTTATATCAGGACATATACATTCTGAAATATGTAGCACATGAAATTATAAGTAAAGTTCTGCCTTGAATTTTGCCGCGAATTATAGATTGTCTAAAGCGGGTTTTAAACAATCTATTTTTGTTAAGAATTTTAAAATAAGAATATCGTGTGTTATAAAACTGCAAAATTTAAAGTAAATTTTGTTTAACGAAATATCGCACACGTTTAAATAATTCAAATTTATTAATAATTTTAATAATTAATGTGTAATAGATATTATATGAGCTATAGCATTATAAATAATATATACAATCATAAGTAATAAGGATATTTTAAAATATGGATATTATGTAACACTTCCCATCTTTATCCAAGGGCAGTCCCCATATCTATGCCCCACAGATAGGATAGAAATATTGAATTTTATTCACACAAAGAATACGCGTTACGTAAGAGAACGAGGAAGCAGATAACCGGAATAATAGAAGCGCACACAGTGGTGGACAGATAATGGGTTACTACGGTTATCTTATATGACGCCTTGAACGTCAGCGGATCCTTCCATGCGCTCTCGAAGATCTTTCCTTCTGTCTATCTTTCTTCCTCTGAGAGTATTGCACTTTGCTCGTCCCAATAACCCACTTATCGGAAAAGTTGCCTCGTATACAGGATGTCGCGTATACAATTCGCGACCTTAATATCGGTGACAAATTCCCTGTTCAATTTAGAGTCAACTTTTTCTTGAGGAAAATGTTAAAACATTTGATAGTTCGAAGAGATAGAAAAAAAAAAACAGCGATAAATTTTAGAAGGCTAAAGGCTTTATATGTTCCTTAATTAATACCAAATGAACTTTAATAGGATTTTAACTCAAAATTTATAATGACAAATGTCTCATAATATTTTCGAGGAAAGAAAAATCAATTACAAATTGATCAGAGAATCTTTTATTAAATATAAAGCCGAATTCGTTACGGAACACTCTGTATAGCATCTTAGCCTGTGACGTATGCACGTATGTAGATAGCTAGGTATACGTACAAACAGATGTCTCTAAATAGAATATTGCTACTCGATTTCTTTTCTCTGTTGCGTCGCCGAGAAATTTCTCATGGGAAAACTCGGTAACGTCAATACTTGCAGCTGGCAATATGCGCTCATTTTTATTACTTAGGATTATTCTCTCCCCTCCCTCCCTCTCCCTCTCTCTCTCTCTCCCTTCGACCATCGTTATCTCAAGTTTATAAAATTGTTCATCCAGGTCAATAAGATGGGAGAAAATAATCGATAGCGTTGAATTTTTCTCAACATTTTTATTGCGTGGGATTTTATTCGGATTTTTCAAGTCGAATATTTACTGCATACTTTAATCTTTAAATATAAGCAACTCATTCATTCCTAAATCTCGTGTGTGAAAAGCTACTTTTAAAGTATTTTCTCTTTTAAAGTAGTAAAACTTCGTTCAGCCATGCAATAGGATGAATCGGCTAAGCCGATAAAATGCGGATGTTCTCAGGCGAGGCATGTGATTGTAAATAGTGATAAATACACGAAAACGTGAGAAAATAATTTTCGAGGAAAATATCTATATATATATATATATGTATATCATTAAAGATGGATCGATTTAAATCTCTACGTAATGTAATCTTACAAGGCTTCTTGGCAGCCAGTTTAATACTTTATTTATTCATCTTCGGTTTTAATTAATGCTAAATATACATTTCGATATATATAATACTAATATTCATCTCGATATATATAATATACATTTACGTTTGACTTCCTCGTATCAAAATATCATTTTCTGTGATATTTTTAGCATAATAAGAGTACATCCGCATTTAAATGCGTTTCACTATAATTTCGAGCATTTTCCTAGCCTTCTTCCATGTTTTCAAGAGACATTTTCCTGCGCCCCTTGTCGACGAAAAGATGATTTCCATAGACGATCTCGCTTGTCGCCAATATTTCCGCTGCCATTGTTATGCATCGTCAAAGAAAAGTAAAGAATGTCGGCTGCGTCGCTTCGTTTATCCCTCGAGCGCGAGACGCAATACTCGGAAACAGGTGCTGGTATAAAAACAGGGTAGAAAATCGCGCAATTTATTCAGAGAAGCATGGAACCTATCGGGAAAAATGTAAGCACATCTCCGCACGGATATATATCGGAGGGGAAAGATGAGAAAAGAGAGAGGGAAGATTCTTGAAGATGTTTCCAATAATTTACATGATTAAATACAGTATTATTAGAATAATGTACAAAAATTTTATTACACATTATATATCTGTATATCATTAAAATTTTCTTTTTTTCAAAGTAACGTTCAGATTGCAAATTGCGTTTATCGATATCATATTCCGTACACGCAGCATAGTTTGGACCAAACTATCGTAAACATGATTATTATTATAATCGACACACAATTATAATCGGAAATTTGTATTTATCTCCGAAAAAGGGGAGATCTCTTTATCTATAGATCTATACGTACCCCGCCACCCTCCTTCATCCATGAAGGTGTTCGCCTTCGTCTTCCTTCGATTCGGTACAGCGTTAGTCGATCGGTCGGTCGGTCACTGAACCGCCGCCATCCCCGTCTCATTCCGTCCCATTCCACCGCCGCTGCCGGAGCCGCGCGATCGAGCCGCTGTACCGTTAGGATCTCGTCGCGATCCGCCTGGAAGCAGACGACACGGAAAAGCGAACCGAAACTGTGCGCATACTTCGCGACGTCCAAAGAATCCGGCTATGAAAATTTTCCGACCGATTGCCAATCTTGAGAATCGGAATCGCGAAGTTGATTACCGCGCGATTAAAATTTATATAGACAATAAAATCGAATATAAAATTGAATTCTTTCGAAATACATTTTGCGCTCACCAAGAACCGTTTCGAAAACCGCTTTCCCTTTCGATTTTGAAGAAATTAGAACGAAGATTGAGATTTATTTTGATGTGTGATTTTTCGCTTTCAAACACTAAACTACTACTTCTTTTTCCAGTTACGTCTCGCAGAAGCCACGTGGAACTGAAGTTCCGCTTTCGCAATTAAAAAAATTCAGTCGCTCTAAAGAGTTCAATGTTACGTCTCGAATGCGACCAAGGAATTAATCGCGGAATTGATAACGCAATTAAAAATTCGCTACTCGATTCGTTAATTAAATCTCTCGGCTGTTCGGCCGAGTTCGTAATTACGTGTTGGAAGTTCGCCGCTGCGTTCGCGCACACTTTCGCCGCGTTGTATTCCTATACCCTTTCTCTCTCTCTCTCTCTCTCTCTCTCTCTCTCTCTCTCTCACTCTCGTCAGTTCTCGTATTTCCCAGCGGCCACGCCTCCACCTACCTAGCTCTCAACGTCCTCGCGTCTCCCTTTTCCGGCAGTTTCGCCGGGTTTGCCGAAGGCAGATGCCAACTTCGCCAAGTTTCAGCGTATAACCGGTAACCGTATAACGAGGTATATGACGCCGCGCGGCAGTCAATCTCGTATCGCTAACCGTACCGTATGCATGCACGCATACATTTGGAAAGCAGTGATGCCAGGCATTTTAATGGCGCGTCGATGGGAATCCATGTTCGACTCGGCGATTAATCAGAGCTGCAAATGCGAGAGTAATTTCGCAGGAAAATTGGAGAAAAAAAGAGAATCGATTTTTCCGGCATTACATTAAACTTTTTCAGAGACGAGAGAATACTCATCATTCACGCCGTCTTTCCAATCAAACTTTCCAAACGCGATCGCGCTATAGGTCGCGCCTCATGGGTCGCCTGAAAGTGAGTTTCATAACTACGTCAATGTAACTAATGCAGTGATGAATTGGTATTTCAGTTTGAAGGAAGAGTTCCCGGAAAAATGTTGAATTGCACAGTATAATAACTTCGTTGTTATGAAACTTCATTTTATCTACAGTGTTAAAAACCGAGTAAAAACAATATGTTGCATACTTTATGTTTTATAGTATAGAGAAATTGACGATAAATGGTCCAAGCAATAATCTACTATCTCGAGACCCTTCTACGAATTTTACACAATTATCTCTTCTTTTTTTTTCCTTATAAAATTCGATCTCTCTTAATAATTCATAAATAATTGTACGCAATCTCGATTCGTAAAAGATTAATGTAATTTAGCAGTTGTCTAGGAAAAACATATGCTCGAAATAGCTTTTGCAGTTTATTTCAATACAGTTCTTATGTTGAGAAAAAAGTCAAGAGAGAGAAGTCAAATTGTATTTTTTGTAGG